ACGTTATGTGCTTCTAAGTGTTTGCTGGGATCTTACACCTTCTCTGCATCTGAGTTTGTTTATTCATCCCGTTCTTGCATCTTACCCCCTTCTTGCATCTGGGGTCCGTCCCGAAAAAACCCCTCCCATCCTCTCCATCGTGGTATGTGAGTCCTGCACTTTCAATTGGATTCTTCTCACGATCATTAAATCTGGCGTGAGACCCTTTTAGCTCGATGGGAGTCTGGAGAGGATTGTTGGACATCATGTTTATGGCCTGTTTGTATTTATATAATTGACTTTCATGTTGATGGCCAAGTGACCCCGCTTGAACCTGGTTGCCAAAAGCTGAGGTTTGAAATTCCCCACATTGTTGTTTAAACATACAAAAAGAAAAACTGTGATAATCAAGTGAAATAGAGGAACTTTATTTTCCCTATCACCTTTCTTTGCTTCTCATTTCAAACGCCCCAAACGAACCCGTGCAGGTGGTTCTCGGGAGAAACCAGCTTCACGGAGAAACGCCTGCGTTCCACGAGGCCTACCTTTTTCGTTCAGAAGAAACTCAAGCCTCCATTTACTGGGCCAATTAGGCCTTTAAGGATTAATTCCTGGTCTGGGAGACGTCTCGTCGAGGACGTGAAAGGCCAATCGCAGGCCTATTCACTCATGGCCCTTTTAAGAGAGTGCGTGTATCGTTAGACCGATTAGAGGTCTATTTCAAGTTTCATGAACCATACCAGGAAGAGGAACGTTAGGCCTATCTAGAGTTCCTCAAACCGTGTCGACGAGTTTTGAGAAGAAAATGCCTCTACTGTAGGAAGCATGGAATACACAAACTGGGTGCCATTCTGTCAATTAAGGGATGTCCGAATGAGATATCTCCACATCCCACCAAATCGATCGGCCTCTGCTAGCCACTATTTCAATCTCAGCTCATCTCATGAACTAAGCACAAAATTATGTCATACACAAAAATAAACAGAAGATCCCAACACCGATACTTAGGCCGAAGAAGTCATGAATCTAGCGTACCTCCAGCACGATATCCTGCAAGACAGGAGGACTGGACTGCAACCATCACGCTAAGCCTAAATGAACAGCAAATTTTTTTTTTTCAAAATAGCGGAATGAAGCAAAGGCCACGTTTCGTCACCTACAAGTCAAAATGTTTCGTTTGGTTGGTCTCTTTCGTCCGAAAACTTCCCAGGGGGGAGAAGAAAACCGGAATGAATTCATATATTCGAAAAACAAGATTCAGGGATTTCCACAACCATGGGAAGATGGAGCTCCACATTTGCTGGAGCGGTTCTGTGTTGGGAGAGGAAGTATGCCAAGTTTCTTTCCCGTAGATGCTCTCAGAGTGGAATACAACACGGTTGAATTTTGTCGCCGGTAGGGGTTGAACAAAATTAAAGGGTGCTACCAAAGCCTATTGATTCGTCTTGGAGAACATATGGTAAGGCAGACATTGATCTCCGCAGCTTCCAATTTTGCTGCTGAACTTCTGGATTGCTGACAATGTACCCAGAAGGCAAGGTTATGTGGACCAACGTTGTATAAACGTTCCGAACATTTATTCAATGTTGATTCAAAGTTGTTTCAAATTGTTTGATGAGTGGCTGCCCTGCTGAAAAAACCTCACTACAAACTCATGAGGTCTCGTGAGATCTCACGACTTTCTCATGAGGTTGTCCGAATATCTCATGAGGAAATTCTCATAATATAATCCTCATGAGGTACTTAACGAGGTCTCACGATCTTCTCATGAGAATTGTGCGGTTCCTCATGAGGCTTCGAAACGTCCTCATGAGGGCCGAGGCCTCGTGAGACCTCATGAGGATTCATGAGGTTTCTTCTGCAGTGCACAACCGACGCGAGATGGCGACTGTATAACCGCTCTGATGGGATGAATGCCCTGATCTCATTGGAACATCTATCCTGTACTCACCAAATTGTATACATTTTTATTTCTATATTGAACATAGGGATGGGGCGGTCAATTGACCACCTTTTAATTGACCATTATTGACCACTAATTTTTTTTAATTCAGTGAATTAAGATATTTTTTTTTATAGAACTCATAACTGTGGTCATTTATCCCCCAGCACTAAAACCAAAGAGCCAGTTCAATTTTTAAGATTTGTTCATGCAGTCTGCCAAACACCTAGACTGTGGCACCTGTTGAAAACATTTTAGCAAATGCTGAAACTACCATGACCTTTCACCTGAGTGATGCAGAGTGTGTGCGCAGGCATAGCTTGCTGTTCAAAGTTTTATAGCCTCAAGGACTTTCAAAGTTAAGGTTCAAGATCTAAGTAACAGCTTTAGTTTCGTGCAAGGTCAATCATGGTCCTGGCTAATAGTCTGCAGCAGAGCATAAAATTATTCTCAAAGTCTGTGATCATGGGGCAAGTACTTGGGTTATGCCTATGCCTATGCCTAAAAAAAATTAATCTAGCAATGAAACATGATAGATTGCTGTTTACCCTATAGATTGCATGAGTTGGAATGTTAAATTTGTCTTAGCAATGAGATGTTCACTGGTCAACATGGTCATTTATGATCATATAGTCATAAGGCCTAACCTCTTGTTGGGCTCATAACCATTATTTTCTGCAAATGGTCTAAAATGACCATGTTGACCAGTCAACTTCCCATCCCTAGTCTATCACTTGTGAGTCATGACATGTAATANAATGACCATGTTGACCAGTCAACTTCCCATCCCTAGTCTATCACTTGTGAGTCATGACATGTAATAGTACAAAAACTACGAAGAAATAAATAAATAAATAAAAGTTGGTCCTATTTACCAAAATTGACCATATTGACTTGTCAATTGACCAGTCAATTGACATGTTTTAATTGACTGGTCAATAACCCATCCCTAATTGAACATAATCAAAGATATTTGATTTTCTAAAAACACTTGTCCGAAGAGATAGCCCAGTTTAGGGAAACTTCAGACAATTCTGGCCTACAAGATAGAATGACGTTTTGAGGATGGAATAAATGACAGTTGTTTAATCGTATATATTCTTTCGTATTAGATAGATGATTACTTCTCTTTTAAGGACTCGTGGGACCTTCCAAGCGGAGTCCCAAGGGACTTTTCGTGGCTATTGGGTCACGAGGCAAATGGCGTCTCTATGCGAAAACCCCATGAGTCAACCTCATGAGATATCTGTTTCAGACCTCATGAGGTCATTCTCATGAGACCTCTGTCCGAAAACCTCATGAGCATCTCAAATAAGAATCTCACGAGGTTTCCTTTTGAGATTCTCCTGAGGTTTTTTCAGCGGAGTTCTCTTGACTATTCTGATACCGTCCATCAAAATGCCAGAAAGTAATAAATAAAATCCTGTTCATTTCCTTCATTGGTATTCTTTTCGAAAAGAAAAGATCATGACGATCATGATTTTGGTATGTAAAGGAAAAGTCATAGAGAGAAACAACAAAATCAGAATCAGAACAGAATCAGGTCAGAAATTAATAGGCCTCAAAAATATGATTATTATTGCAAAGTTCTTTTTTCACTTTTTAAAGTTCAAATATGATTCCATTATTTAATTGCCTGCAGGTTCAAATGCATGATTAATACTTACGTTTGGACCAAGCTCTCCCCACATGATTAAGATATTTCCACGGGAGATGTATCTGGTGGTGTTTACATGGCGATGTGGTACGTGCCCCACTCCCCTCTAGTTGCATTACTACCAGTCGGCGTTCACGCTGATTGGGGCAGGAATCGAAACGCTGGAGCATGCGACGAGGGAGATGGGTTCGGTCTTGCCTAAGGGGGTGCATTGGATCAGAGACTCGGCGGTCAAGTTCGATCCGGACAACAAGCGGGTCCACACCGGCTCTGGCGATCAGATCAGCTATGAGTACATGGTGATAGCGATGGGTGTTGCACTCGATTTTCACCAGGTGAGTGTCACCCGGTCCCACGACTTCGCGAGTCACTTGGTACTACAACTTCTGATGTCTCAAAATTCTCATAATTTCTCCCTCAGGTACCAGGGCTTGAGGAAGCCCTGGAGAAGGACCCTATGGTTTGCTCAAACTATTCCCCAAAATACGTTTCCAAGACGAGTAAAGCCATCCACGCCTTCAAGGAAGGAAATGCCATCTTCACGTTCCCGAACACCCCAGTGAAGTGTGCAGGCGCACCACAACAGGTTGCCTACCTGACGGACTGGCACTTCCGACGCGTAAACTGAAATCTTCTGGCCAATAATTTGCATGTCTAGATGCCAGAGAGGTCGATATGGTCGACATGTTAAATAGGGCTCCATTTCCCACAGGAAGGGAAGAGAGAGCGAGCAGAGGTGATCTACAACACGTCACTCCCTGTGGTATTCAGCGTGAAGAAGTACGCAGCTTCTCTGATGAACGTGATCAAAGAAAGAGGGATCAAATTGAACGTGAGGCGTAATCTCGTCGAGGTTCGAGCAGACAAGAAAGAAGCCGTCTTCGAGAATCTCGACAATCCCAGCGAGAAGATAACCTATCAGGTGAGTCGGATGTGGTTCATGGGTCCATCGAGGTACAATGTCATGGTCACATGTCATGCTTCCCATACCCAACTGCAGATCATGACAATGTTTGACATAGCACACTTGGCCCCGTCCTAGCTCGCTCTTCTGTACAGGGTGTACCAAAATGTACGGAAACATTTAAAAAATTAATATCTCACTTAATTATGCCGCAAATAACATTATGAAAACTATAAAATGAAGTGCAACTAAAACATTTTTCAACCTGCTATTGCAATTCCCCATGGGCACTATTTGTGGCTCTGTAGATGTCCATACGATGTTCAAGCTCTTACCACAACTTACGCAGAGTGTCATGTACAACTGTCTGGATAGCTGCATCAGTTCTGTTCTTCAGATCAGGTTGAAGATTGCTTACTCAAGGGAAGTTAACTATATCCTTGACATAGTCCCATAATGGTAAAAAAATAATCCAAGCGGGATGGGTTCAGGCACAATAAAAGTCTCATTTTCCAAGATGTTGCAACTCCACATTTTAGCAAGCTAAGACATGGAAAAGAAAACAGATCTGTGGATTGGACAAAGCCGGTTCATTTCATGGCCACCAAGATCACCTGAACAAACCCTAGAGCACCAACCCATTTTCGCAACGTCATTGTGTAGAATATTCTCATCACCCACTTTTCAATGAAAGTAAGAAAAAATCACCTCTTCCACATTGATAGAACAAATTATGACTAACGTGGTGCATTTAAAGTAATTTAAATATTTCAATTGGTTTACGAAATATTAAAAAAATTTAATTGAAGTTTCATTACGGAAGACACTTATTACATCCAGCCTATAAGGAAGATCATAAACGTATTCTTTTCAAATCCCTGGTCTCAAATATGTCATTAAGGATTAAAGTGCAATCAACTGATTTATTTAGAACAGTTTCCAGAAGCAATCAAGTGAGAAGCTGAAGGCCTAAACTTTCATTTCACACTAGTATGACACTTACACCTGTCTTGAGGAACAGAGGCGTTTAATGTTCGGCTCTGTGCTGGAAAGAGCTACACAAAGTACCTCATCCAGGCTCATTTTTCACTTCCAGCAAAAATTCGTCCAGTGGCACCTGGCTGAACTTGAGTTTGAGAGTGCGGTCGCTCCTGAGGTCTAGAAATTCCTCTCGCGCCTTCAGAAAAAGCTCCTTGACTGATTCCTCCGCGGATGAAGCGATTGCATTGCGAACCCGGTCATACTGATCCGTGCTGGTCAACTTGACGTGAAGCATGCCCAAATGTTCAACCACCACATTCAGCAGCTTTTTTTCAGGATGCTTGTTACTGGTCCGCTTGAACATGACCAGTGAATCACGTCCCATTTCTTCTCCCCACAGCGGAAGTTTTGATTCGAACGCATTTAGCTTGTCCGTGTATGTAAGCACGTTCTCACAGCGTCCTTGCATTCTTCGATTCAATTCGTTAAGATGCTCAGAGATGTCTGCCATGTACGCTAGTTTTCCTAGCCAGTAATTGTCTTGTTACAAACTAGCATGCTGCGATTTGTGGTACAACGTTATAAACTGCTCTTCCTCGTCCCTAAGCTCAAATATTATTATTCACACGACCTTGCCTTGTGAAATCCAGAGAACCTCCGAGTGAAAAAATAGGGATTGTTGGTCTGGCCCCCCATCTCCTCGCAAAGTAAGGGAAAAAGTCAACGCTTAAGAGATCTTGATTTGATAAAGTTGACGATTTTTCCAGCTTCAGCCAAAACGGACTTCAGCTCATCCGGCAGGTTGTTTGCCACGAGAGCTTCGCGATGGAGGAAACAGTGTGTGATTTCAACTTTTGCGTTTTGAAAAATCAAAGCCTGTCATTGCAGCTGCTCCACCAGTGTAATTTTGTGTAGTTTTGTAGTTTTCCCACTAGATCCCGATGCTTTTCAGGTACTCATCTGTAACGCGGAATATTTCATCGCCCGTTGCACGCTGAGGAAGCCTTTTGCCGGTGAATAGACTTGAGAATAATATAACAGCGATTTCCTTTCCTTTCCTAAAATTCCGAAAATACCACCAGGGACTTATTCGCGGTACACCAATGTGCCGTGACAAACCGGTTGAGAAGCACTGCCCTAGAGGACTATTTCTTGCTGGCGATGTCAATACGTCGCTCACTCGAGAAAAGTAGACAATCGATCAGGATTCAGGATAGTTTGTGATATCAAGAGGCGATTTCGCCCATTTCGATATCACGTGTCGAGGTCGAGCGTTCCTTAATTTTAGGGTAGGTCTAACCCTCTTAAAGCTAAATATTTTTGTATTTTTTTGTTTTTGTTATTTTTTGTTTGTGTTATTTGACATCCTAGTTGCTTACTGTCTAGTA